CTACCTTGAGCCTGTGAGAGTCAAACTGCCGAACTGCTAGCAGCCAGCAGTCAGCAGAACTAGCATTCTAACCACTATGCCACTACAGCTCTTAAGGAGAAACTTCCTAACAGTGAGGACAATTAACCAGTGGAACAGTTTGCCATCAGAAGTTGTGGTTGCTTCATCACTGGAGGTTTTTAAGAAGAGACCGGACAGTCACTTGTCTGAAATGGTATGGGATCTCCTGCTTGAGCATGGAGCTAGACTAGAAGACCTCCAACAGACCTTCCAACTCTGATCTGATTCTGGTTTTTGAGAATGGATGTGTGCATGTTAGGAGGGAGGACAAATCACATATTTGTCATGTTCTTTCCAATCACAGTAAATCAACTTTACTGTCTGCTGGAACGGTGGTTTGAACCAATCTTATTGATAGTAGAGGGGGGCATGCAGGCTAAATCTAAGGGGGGTGTCTGCAATTTATTAAAAAATCATATGGTACTTATCTTCCCAGCCAAACACTCTCACCTGTAATGAACCCAAGTAACAAAATAGGGTTTTAAGTTGCCTGCTCATATGCCTGCTCACCTTCTGTTGATAGGAGGACTTATGTTATTGTTCTATTCTGAATTGGGCCCAAGACCTTTGTTCTACCCATCATTACTCCAACATGCAGTTGTAGAAAGAAAGAAAATCAATCATCTGCCTAGTGTCTCAATCTATGCCCTAACCACAGGTGTCAAACTCGCACCATCACGTGACATGTCGCAACGTATCATGACTTTTTTTGCATTGCTGGAGCTGGGGTGGGTGCGGCCTCTGTATGATGCAACTGGCCCATGGGCCGTCAGTTTGACACTCCTGCCCTAAACTATATAAATTCCATCCAAGTGTCAACTAGTGATGACTATGGCCCAAATTTTAATTATGGCTTTTCCTTTTGCCTTTCTGTACTTGCTTTCTGTACTCCTGATAAACACAGTAGGTAAAATTGCTGTTCATTTAAAATATAATCTTAAACAATAAAAATATGCATTCACTTCTCTGAAGCTCACTATTGCTTATTTTTGGGAAAACTCTAAATAATAGTTTAGAGTAACATCTGCATGTAGCCAACCTTTGTAAAAATAATCAGTCCTGTAACTGCATACATATTACTAATTTATCAGAAAAAAAGATTTCTGCAAAACTTTTTTGCAAGTTGTGTCTACAACAGTATATGTATATCCTTGGAAAGACAATGCCACTTGTTTCTTTTCCACCAAGTAGTATTTTAGTAGGAAAGCCAATTTACTAATTATATCCTTTTAAAATGGAAAGAAAGAAAAAACAATGAGCGGGAACAAAATTAAGAGGCTTTAAGTTGTAAAAGGCAGCATTAAAATACTTGTTACACCATACAACAAACAATTTAATCTTAACAATCACAAGCTTTTATTACTCTTATGAATTTTGGCCAGATAATAGAAGCATCAACTAACCACCAATTATCAATAGAACATTATAATTTGTTGCCTGTGATACTATCAGTTTATAAAGATGACTCTCTTGTGCCCAGACAAAATTTTAATCATCCTCACCCCCACAAAATAATGTTGGCTTTAAGCTGATATGTACATAAAGTAACAGTATTTAAGCTAAGAGGCTTTCTCCCAATACCACTGTTATTACCACTACTGTATTCAGATATTAGTGTAAAATATAATAGAGAATTAAGGCACATTCAGGCAGCATTAATTTTCAGTACTTCTGGAATCTTATAAGAAATTTCAACAGAGAAAAAGTGAGAAATGTCTATAGACATTCTCAGTCATCCAGGTCATGGTTGTCCCAAAGGTGCTTTTTCACAAATGTTCGTTTCTTTGTAAATTTCTTTTCCATAAACTAACAAGCTTTTACATATCCTTTTCCACACACTAACCAGCTTTTCTTTTTAAAATCAATAAATGAAACTGATAGCATTTAATTGTTCTGATATGACATTTCTTCATAAGTTTATGGTTTGTGAAGAAAATATCTAAAATTTTATAATTTGGGCAAATTCATCCAAAATTCTTAAATATTAAACCATGGAAATAATGTTACAAAATGGTGGAGTGTGCTAAAATTGAACCATTATTATACCAATAAATTCCCATGAACCACCAGAAGGAAAAATCTAGAAAAGTTCAATATTTTCTACATAAGCCTAACGTATATTTCATAATGCCTCAACTTTGCCTTTTCCTTCTAATTTCTGGGTGGAGGAAGAAGAAAAGAAAAATAATTCAGTTTCAGGGTATTCCTAACTTCTTAGATGCAAAGAAATGTAGTTTTAAAAGAAAAATAACGATTAAAGACCTGGCTTTCAGACATTATTATTTCATATCACCTTCAACTTATTACATCTCAATAAAGTATACATTTATATAATCCATATAATTGAAAACTATCACTGCCGTGAAAAGCTCACTTTTTAAAATACACTCCTTAAAAGTGTATTGTTATTTATCATACAGTATTATATCTAAAACATGGTTTTTTACATACAATCTTGGCAATGTCTAGGCATAGACACAAAAGATAAACACATTAATGATTTATTAATTATTGGCAATGTATGAAATATTTTAAGCAATACATGGAAGAGTTTGCAGAAAACCAATTTCAATCAAATCTCCCTCCCTTTATATTGCAATAAAAAAATCTGTGATGGAGAGGAATCTAGCAATATCTGAAACATCAGCAACTCTCTTGAAATCATACCCAAGAAAACAACATTTATATTGGAGAAAAACAACCAATTTCTATTTACATTATTAAAGTTCAGTCTATATTTACAAGTGGAGCAATGAAGAATGGTCATTAAATTTTAAAATACCTCAGGATTTCTGAAGTTTCTCTTCTTTCATATACTCCATTTCAACATTGACTTTACACTTTAATTATCAATTTCACACAGTCATTATATCATGTAAAATGTCCCATCTTACTTACTGTTTAATTCAGTTTTACAATTCATCTTTACATTCAGAGACAGTCAAGCAAACAGTATTAAAAACAAAGTATCAAAATAAGACTGTTAAAATCAATTTAAAATATACAAGTGACCAGAGTAGTATTTACAAAATTAGGGGCAAACCCTAATTAAAACTTCCTTGAATTATAATATCAATTCTCACCATGCAAAGTCATAATACATTAACTTTACTGGGCCAAATTGAAAGTGACTGGTCATAGTAAGAACCATCCAGACTATACTGCTGGCACTATGCCTGTTTTATACAGACAGCTTCTTCCTCCAACTTATTAATTCAGCTTCCATTTCATTTTATTTCATCTAGAACAAATCAGCTCCAGATTAAAAGGGGGGACATTTGAAGAAAAAAAGATTCCAATAAAATATGAAATACGCAACAATTTCGAAGCCAAATCCTGGCTTCATTCACAAGTACTGGATGACGATTCATTGAACAAGCCATTGTACTTTACATTGCACATATTTCTAAATCATAGCAGTTCACCTATTATGCTATATTAAAATTTTACAAATTACATATTCCCTGACATGTAAAATAGAATTCTATTTGATATCTCCTAATGTGGTTCTGTGCAGCAGTGGAGGGTAGCAAATTTCTTTTGTATTATTTTCAATGTATATTGACCCTCTTTTATCAAATTATGATTGTTTTGGAGCAGGGGTCTTCAAACTTGGCCCTTATATGACTTGTGGACTTCAACTCCCAGAATTCCTTAACCAGGCACGCTGGCTGAGAAATTCTGGGAGTTGAAGTCCACAAGTCATAAAAGGGCCTAGTTTGAAGACCCCTGTTTTGGAGGAATCAGACAAGTAATACTCCTTTTCTATTTGTGCTAATGCTGAAGGCAGCTTATTCATCTTTGTTTTTTCTAGATTCCCCTTTCTTTTCTAATCTTTTTTTCCTCACGTTCCTTG